TATAAAAAATTTAAATTCATAGCTTTACAATTTAAAGAGTTAGAGGGGAGGTAACCTTTCCATGACCAGTACTGTATTTTGTATTGGTAAATATTGGCCCGAATTAAGTTTAATTTAGGCCAAGGTTAAATTTTTTTTTTTTATGTCCAATAAAAAAATTTACTATGTCCAATTGTCCAAATTGTCCAAATGTCCAATATCATAATATGCCATCCCTGTTTAATTCACGTCGTAGTTAGAGTCGTCTTTACTGGAGTAGTCATAGGTACAATTCGCCGTTATAGGCGGGTGTAGTCATTATTTATGTTGCTTTTGGGGTGACTTTCGTTGTTCGATTTGCTTCTGGTGTTGCTGGGGTTTGTTTTTCTTTGTTGTCGCATAACTAACTTCCCACTTTTCTTTGATGGTCGTTGCAGCTGACAGTTTCGTGCCGTCTGTTTTAGTACTGCCGTTATTCGTGTTATCTTTGTGGTGTAACGGTTGAATGCACAGTGTAGCTTCAACCGTTATATGGACGACGTTTCCAAGATCATAGTAATTATCGTTATATAAGGGTGACTCATGAGCTTAATGAAAGAAAATCATGACTATTCTGCATTACTTTATGATGGAAACGAGGTTCTCCTGTTTATTAAAATAAATGCTTCACTTTTATACATTCTGAAAAGAGAACCCGTTTGGAACCTACTTTATGACATCAGAGGCTTCACGCTATCGTGTTAGCCTCATGTCAATATGCGCACTGCCTCAGTGTTGGCAAAATGACAAATATGACTTTTATATGACATAAATAAATGACACGTAAATTTTATAAAATCATAATAAAATCATATCAATAAGGTTTTTTTATGACAAAAATGACACATTTTTATGATATTCAATCCAATAATTTTGTCAAATTGCCAACACTGCACTGCCTCATGCGGGGATTTTACACGATATTAATTTAGTTAGATGATCAATAACACCCAAAAAGGTAAGATCGTAAAAAATAGTTCATTACGTACGTACGTGTGGTTACTATTTCGCGTTTTAATTTTAGTGCTATCGTTCAAAAACAAAGCTTATATTGGTAATTAGGTTAGGGTTAGGGTTAGGGTCAGGATTAGGCAGTTAGTGTTTAGTTTGTAGATTAGATATTTAGCGGTCAAGTGTAATGTCAGAAAATTTTCAAGCACATATAAAATTTATAACGATCTATAGGTTTTGTAAAAAAAAAAAGACAGTTTTCATTACAATATAACCAGTATTCTTTATTATAATAAAAATTTTTGTTATTTCATATTTATATACTATCTATATTTTTTCCCCTTACGTCAAAAACCTAGGGATTCGATCCTATCTTTGACAGGCCATCCGGATTCTATTAAATCCGGATTGAATCCGTGTCAGATTAGAT